CAAGTTTCACACTCGCACACCATATCCGGTCAACGTTTTTCAAAATAAAACACTCGCTGATGAACGTTTGTAAAATCTTTTGTTTTCAGTGATAAAATACAGATTTTTAGATACATTCGCATCTACGTTATGTGAAAACCTGCCACTTGGCTAAGATTGAAATGAGAATTAACTGTTATTCTTCTAGTTTGTTTAATTCAGTCATAAAATGCACCCCACCCAAAAAGATGTTTCTATTAATCCCACCCTCAAGCATTTTTCAGGGTATAGTTGTAGGACTAGTACCAATGAATGGAGCAAGTTTCATGAATGTCACACTTTTATTTTGTAAGATAGCAAGGGGGGGCATATTGTGATAACCAGGCCTGTCATAAAATGCACCCCACCCAAAAAGATGTTTGTATTATTCCCACCCTCAAGCATTTTTCAGGGTATAGTTGTAGGACTAGTACCAATGAATGGAGCAAGTTTCATGAATGTGACACTTTTATTTTGTAAGATAGCAAGGGGGGGCATATTGTGATAACCAGGCCTGTCATAAAATGCACCCCACCCAAAAAGATGTTTGTATTATTCCCACCCTCAAGCATTTTCAGGGTATAGTTGTAGGACTAGTACCAATGAATGGAGCAAGTATCATGAATGTGACACTTTTATTTTGTAAGATAGCAAGGGGGGGCATATTGTGATAACCAGGCCTGTCATAAAATGCACCCCACCCAAAAAGATGTTTGTATTATTCCCACCCTCAAGCATTTTTCAGGGTATAGTTGTAGGACTAGTACCAATGAATGGAGCAAGTTTCATGAATGTGACACCTTTATTTTGTAAGATAGTAAGGGGGGGCATATTGTGATAACCAGGCCTGTCATAAAATGCACCCCACCCAAAAAGATGTTTGTATTATTCCCACCCTCAAGCATTTTTCAGAGTATAGTTGTAGGACTAGTACCAATGAATGGAGCAAGTTTCATGAATGTGACACTTTTATTTTGTAAGATAGCAAGGGGGGGCATATTGTGATAACCAGGCCTGTCATAAAATGCACCCCACCCAAAAAGATGTTTGTATTATTCCCACCCTCAAGCATTTTTCAGGGTATAGTTGTAGGACTAGTACCAATGAATGGAGCAAGTTTCATGAATGTGACACTTTTATTATGTAAAATAGCAAGGGGTGCATAACGTGGCAAAAATATGCTGACAAAGACTATGTAACATTTGTAAACATATATTTTGATTATTATATGACAAATATGTCAAATTAAACAATACATTTTAAAGCACGTGTATACAGACAGGACGTAACAATAATACAAAATAAAAAGATTAAAAAAAACAAAAACTGAAAAGGAAGTGACGAATGAATTTCGACACCACTACCATCAAATACGGAGCGAAAAGTTTAACCACAAGAATCAAGACTATATGAGCTACCACTAAACAACTCACAGTCTGACAATTACCATTAATAAAAACACTGAACGTTTACTTTTCGTTTTAAACATCGTTTTAAGGTGTAAACGTGTCATTTAGAAATGCGCGTTCCCGTGACAAGGGGGGCATTTCATGATGGGGGTGCATAATTTGACACAACACAAGTATTGTAAAGCGACATAATGGAAGCTTTTGTTCTGAAGGAAGAACGTTTTGTTGCAGTCTTTTTACTTCCTGTTTTGAGAAGGTCACGTGATTTCTTGATCCATTGATGCATGCTGTAAATATAGTTATATTATGGCAGCTCGATATAATAAAATATAATTTTTTTTTTGTTTATTAGACAATTGTTTTTTAATCTAGATAACAATAATAATAACAATTATTTAAAAATAATAATAATAGTAATAATAATGTTTACAAAGAAATCACCCACATTAGTTGAGTATCAAGTAATGAAACATGAATTGTTCAATTCAGTGTTACATTAACAGGTTTCCTCAATTCACTGTTGTGAAAGAACTGTGTTTTGAGTATGTTTTGAAATATTCTCGTGTCTTACTCATACAGTACGAACAAAGTTACAATTAGCTAATTATTTATAGAAAAAACACAACCCAAGCACCCTTGGTTGGAAAAAGTAGCACATTTATATGAATTCAGTCGTGCACTAAATTGCATACAGGTTATGATCGAGCAGTGTGTTCTTCATCATAGTGGAAATAAGACCTGGTACTCTAAAGTTTTGAAATAGACATATTACATACACAGACATATCACAATGATATACAAATATTGAAAACCAGAAATAAAACAATATGTCCATACAAATCATAAAATGCAGTTTCATTAAAAATACAACTAGTTTTAAAGGCCTTGTGATGTACTTCTTTATTAAGACCTGAATATATTACATCATGAAATCTAAAAGGATTACCACTGCAACAGTTTAAAAGAAAAACAGATATCATCTTGTCAAAATCTATGGCACTTCATTAATATCCTGCTGCCACAACAATTAACATCGGCACAGTGATTTCACATAAAAACATGAACATTTGCATACAGAAAATGAAATGCTTAAAACCATCAACTATACACACATTTTACAACTAAGAAAGTAAACCAAACATAAAGTAATACAACACTAATATAATTATATAAGAGCCGTTTTAATCTGAGGATCTCAGCGTGCAGGAAGCGACAAAGGGCTGTAAGTAATCCCATAAACAGCTCGGAGCAATGCCTTTTAAGGGCTTTCTAAGTAATCAATTACATTTTAAAAATTGATGGTTATGATGATTTTTGAAATGCTCCGAAGAGGATGGAAGCATGATTAAATCAACCCGGATTAAACCACTGATTTTACATGTGTATCTAAGCTGACGTGTTGGTCAACTGAACGAACAAAACAGAGGTTGAACGAGGTTCATTTATGCTGCCAACATTTTAGCCAATCCAGTTTTCCCAGATTGTTTAAATGCAAAATGAGTGACACTGAATTTCCTAAATTAGTGATGCCCATCATTGGAATCATCATAAGACATTGAATGGTTAGGTCATCAAAGTGCAGAAACTGTGAGAAAAGCAAAACAATTATTGGAGGAAAATAGGAAGTAACGGTAACCACAAGGTTGTTGATGATGATCTGCAGAGCCTTCTTCTTCTGGGGGTGGACTTCTCCTCCTCCAGGGTTAGATCTCTTCAGGGTCCAGAGGATGGAGAAGTCACAAAATCCAATTACAGGCAGAGTCAGAGAAAAAAACAAGATCATGGTGGGGTGAGTCAAAATCGCACTCTCTATGGTAGTAACATAATATCCATAAGTTAGTGTCACAGCCCAAACACCAACAGCCATCAAGACCCTCAGAGTCAAACTCTTTCTCACTCGATACGTAACAGGATGAACTACCGCCATGTAGCAGTCCAGACAGATGCAGGTAATAAAGAGAGGCCTCCCACACAAGTTGAATGACAACGTGGTGTAAAACAATTTTTCATACACAGAGTTAATCTTGGTTGATATGCCACCCAACTTTGGCAGTAGAACAGTCAAATAAAGCGCATCCATGATGGGGAGATTTGACATAAAGACATCATTGGAAGTGAACAGGGTTCCCTTTCTTCTTTTCTGAAAAAGGTCCAAAACGACGGCCACAGCTCCAGGAAATCCCAAAACAAAGGAAACTAGAGTGGCAAAAGCCCAGAATATATAACCCTCCGGTTGGCCTTCACACGTGTCCTCCGCTGTTGCATTAGTGTCGTTAATTAACCAAGACATTTAGATTGCTGCTAAAGAAAATAACCAATACGTTCTATCACTCTCCGATTTATCAATGAAAAGCAGCAGCAACTGAACAATATCAACCGACCTCTCGCTATAAGTAAAAAGACAATATGACCAGCTGTGTTTCAGAGGGCATCCTTATTTGTATAATGTATGTGTGACAGTGGATGTTTTAGTTGAAAAGGCACACCATTATCATCCGTCACACCTGTCAATGGACCACAATTTTCCACAGAGATTTGAATGAGTTTTACTGTAAAATCAGGAAAGGGAAAACAATTCATTTTACATAACATCTGTTCAAAAAGTGAACGAAGTAGAACCTGTGTCAGATGTGTCTTACATGTTTTTAGCCATACTGGTGGACCAAAAGCATAACGTCCACATGAAGAACTTTAAAATAAATAAAGAACATTTAAGAGAAACTCAAATTCAGGACATATTGAAAGATGTTGACTCATAGACTGAAGCCACGCTAGTAGGTCTAAGTGCTAACGTTGGCATGCTAACATGCTCTGATGTTTATTAGGGGCTCTATGACAGCTAAAGGTTAAAAACTAAATAAGGTGCCTTGCTAAAGTTCACCTTAAAAGGAGTTGTCGAATCTGCAGAATTTAATATAGCAACCCTCAATTTACGGGACGGCTTTGGAAAAAACTACCGCTTCAGAAACTGCCTATAGCCTACTTAATTTGCATTTATTGCTGCCTGCAAACATGAGGGAGGCGTAAACGATGGAGTCATAGAAATGCTAAAAAAACATCTGTGAAAACAAATAAGAACATAAATGTGGAAATATAAAGGTAAATAAAAAAAGAAATAATGAAGTAAATAATGAAATATGAAGGGAAATAAATCAAATAAGGAATTCATTGCCATTTTAAAGATACAACAGAATACAATTCTGTTATGTCTTTTATTTATTAATTACATTATTTCAGTTTATAATCCTTTATATCATTTTTTAATATTATTTTATTCATATATATTTTACTCTTTTTTCTTATACATTTTTTATTGAAATAATATCCATTAATTATTTGTATCCTTTTTTCCCTTATTCTTTCTCTTTTGCTTTTGTTTTTTCCCTACACCTCTTTGCTTTATTGCGTTTCATTATGATATGTTTGAGCTATCTCACTTAAGGATCATTTCAGTTTTGACCAATCCAAACCTTTATAATGTTTACCACCGTGTGCATGTCACAGTCAGTGCTCTACGGTCAACCAGAAGTGCTATCACCCCTCGCCCCACTTAAACCAACAGACACAGCGTCGTACAAAAGATATTGTTTTTATTTGTACTTCTTTATTTGTTACAGACACAATTGCGACAACAGGAGAGAAACTGCAGTGAGATGGAGGAAGAAGAGTCAAATACAAAGACATTTTATGTTTGTTCATTTCTTTTCCTGCCTCCCGCTCACCAGCCTTTCACCATCTCTGTCTCTATTTACAAGACATGCTTTACCATTTTTCACTGCAACTTTTCCTTTCATACCCGTGTTTAAGAGAGGGAGAGACCCGATTAAAAAGAGGAGGGTAGGCAAACTATTATAGTAAAGTACTCCTACTCTTTTACTGTGCACCCCTCTCTCTTGCAAACACAAGGACGAATCCACGAAACACTCTGTTTCAGGTTGAGACTTGCAGACTTTCCCTTTCCTTGTTTCAAGTAGTTGACATGCACCATAGCACTCAAGAGACACTTTCGATTGACCGCTTTACACACTGGACTGCATATGCATACACTCTGCATGTAGGTATGATGCATGCACTGCTTGCCCCAACGCAGAAGGACAGAGCGAGTGATGGGGGAAAAGAAGGAGGGACAAAGGCAGGGACAGAGATAGAGGGAAAGGTTTCAGTGTCACAAGATTATTTTTATTGAAAATAATCCCATGTCCTCCTGTTTACTCACACACAAACAACTCCACTGCCATCATTCCTCTCACTTAGTATGTTGTTAAAGGAAACAAGTCTTTTCGTAGTGAGCTGGCAAGCGGAAAGAGATGGCCAGGGGAGAGGAAGTGTGCAAGGAAGCCACGTCGTCGGAGAGGAGGGGAGTGAGTATGTTGGTAGGTCAGATACGGGTTTGAACGGAGGTAGAGATGTTGGAATAGGTGGAATTTACTCTTCCTTTTCCTCTCCGTGGGTGATGACGTAGCAGATGCTCTTGTAGTCTACATTGCCAGCCACATCAGGGGGGAAAGCGGCCCACAGGTTGGTCATCTGCAGGAAAGATTAAAAGACATTTCTTACAACCCTAGACAACAACAGACAGAACGTGAGTATGAGCAAAGACAAAGACGGATCAGCTCACCTCCTCTCCGGTGAACCTGTCGCACTGGGTGGTCAGAAGCTCCTCAAGGCTGGAAAGGGAAAATTGAGAAAATTGAATATAAGATTTCTTGATTATGCCAACAAGAGCTGCTGCGATAGACATTGATTTAAAAGTTAAAGCCCTTACAATTCCTTCTTGATGGAGCCAGTGGCCTCGGGGTCCAGGACCTTGAAGGCAGACACGATAACGTCCTCGGGGTCAGCACCTAATAGCAAAAGAAGCCGATAAGTTATAAACATAAAAACAATCCCTAAATAGAGAAAGATATGAAGCATGTGGGGGAATAAATGTAGAAAGCAAAAGTGTTGGGCCTTTGTGTCAACGCACCCTTCAGCTTCTCGCCGAACATGGTCAGGAAGACGGTGAAGTTGATGGGGCCGCTGGCCTCCTTCACCATGGCCTCGAGCTCCTCATTCTTCACATTCAGCTGGCCCATGGTGGCGAGCACGTCCCTGAGATCGTCCTTGCTGATGATGCCATCCCTGTTCTGGTCAATGATTGTGAAAGCCTGCCGGGAGAGTAGAGGTCAGTCACTGGGCGTAAAATACAAATGTAAGTGATTCCTTACGGGTTGCCAAAATGCTCCTCACATTTCTCACAAGTACCCGTCATAAGACTTGCTTATGATAATTATTTGCGTGAGATAGCCTGCCAAAACAAATGTGTAAATGTGGAGTCGTTCTCCACCTCTTGTCCCCCGCATAGCTGGGCGTAGCACCCAGTGAAACCAAAGATGGCATTGCAAACCTTTTGGGACTTGGCAACTGGTCGGCCACTTGTCTTTCTAAGGTGTTAAAATGGTCTCGGAATGGCAGACAAGCCCGTTGCGACATTTAAGGAGAAGGTATTGATTACAGCTGTCGTTCCCCCCCCCCCCCCCCCCCCCCCTTCTCTATTTTCCCCTTGTGACCAAATGTGATGACCCTGTACCCAATGTTATTTCAGCTACTGTCTCCATTGTATTCTTGGTAACAGTAGCTAGACTGACATGACCAAAACTTGTCTTCATACCTTCAATAGACGAACATCCCAGATAATATTGTTGTGCTATAATAACAGCAACACAAATGTCTTAATGGTGCCACATTTTTGAATATTTAGGTAAACTTTCTTAAGGTTTAAAAAAAACATATTGTTCCTTTTTTATTTAGACGCAGAGCCTGCTAAATGTTACGACCTCAAATTCTGTCTTGTTCTTTCTACCATGAGCCCCTCCTTCCTGCTCTGATCAACATCACTGGCCACCAGCTGTTGGGCGGCATTCCAGTGGGGTCACTGAGCGTGTGTTTCTCAGTCTCCGAGCAGGATTTCTGAGCTACTCCAATGGAGAGATAGCTGCTGTCATTGTCAAAAAAAAAACCTGAGATTTACTGTCCTTCCTGGATATTCTTGCTTTCCTACAACCAGCTGATCCAGCCTATAGCTTCCTCACGTTACCACCAAGGTCAGCTGATATACATGATGTTATTGCAGAGTACAACATGTCCCTTTTCCCACATGGCTTAGAGAGAACCTCAACTTTTACTAGAAATCTTTAAAGTATGTGAGATGTGATGAAGACAATCTTACCTCCTTGTACTCCTGGATCTGGCTCTGCTCAAACATGGAGAACACATTGGAGGATCCACCCTCTCCCTGCTGCTGCTGCCTCCTCTTAGCCTTCTTGGGTGCCTGGGAGATAAAAGGTAAATACACTTTAGACATACAGAACATCAACCCAACAGTGATCTTAGCAAAACAATTAAAAGGCTGCCAATGATGCCCTGATTAAAAAAAACATAGAGAGTCTTAAATTGTTTGTTTCAGTAACTTTTACATCCCACTTGGGGCTAAGAGCAACGACAGAATGCTACAAAGAAAAGTCAAAATCACTGTATCTGGTAGATCATATTTGCATCACAAAGTGTGAAGAAAGTTAGTTTCCTATAAAGGAAATCTATCAATATAGAATCTATCACCCAATTAGGGTTCAAGGACAAAATAATGCCTTTATTGACTATTATAATAAGCCAATGCTCCTAAAAAACATTTATTTTAGTATTTCTTCATGGTTAAGATGTTAAATAAAGACTTGAGATAAAAGTTAAGACTGGGTCCAAATCCAAAGTTTGGGATGCTCAGCTCAAGAGACTGCTTCATGGGCTGTTGGTAATCCAGATCGCAAATGTATCAGTGATGCTTTCATCTCATCATCCTAGATGTCCTAGAGACTGCTCTTCCAAGGAACATGGCCACACTCACCATCTCTCAAGTTTTTAGGGGTTGTTGGTGGTCAAGAAGAGAAGCCTACGGAAAGCCTGTGTGACTGACATGTAAGCATCCCACCCTAGGAGCCTTATATACTAGCCCAAGGGGGGCTAACTTTAGCCACACCATCAGGTTTGGCAGGAAAACAGAGCTGAGGGAAAGTAAGAGAAAGAGGGAGGAGCAAAGAGGTGGCGGGACGGGTCAGCTTACCGATGTTTCAAAATAGGTCCCAGGAGTCTTGGAATGAGGTGAATTCAATGCCAACACACAGCAGTGACTTTGGTGTAATCTGTGGACTAATATGGCTAAACTGACTGACAGGAAATGCTGACACTCAACCCATCTACCCTAGGATTTCTCCTCTTCTTTTTCCTGAGAGTCTTTGTTGTGGCTATTTTTGTTTCTTTTATAACCAGATCAAAACCCAGTGTCTGTTGCTTTAATCCCTCGATATACACACACGTACACATGAACACACACACACACACACACACACACACACACACACACACACACACACACACACACACACACACACACACACACACACACACACACACACACACACACACACACACTCAAACAGATAGGATTAACAGTAATTAACAGCCTCAAGCTGTTCTAGGTGCCAACATGTACTCGTGGGTGGCATATCCTGAAGTCATCACCTGCTAAAGGATAGGTTTACTGTGAGGTTTGATCTTACTACCAGATCAGTAGTGGCCAGCCAGGTTTATTAACAGTCATGAAACTTGAAAACAGTTGGCTGATGAGCTTTGGTCCGGCTCCAGCAGTGACACGCGACTACCAGCTCTCTAGAGACTCTGACCTTGCATCAATGAGAAATATAAACAGTCCTGCAATACCGACTCATGTGGCAGGAAATACTTCAGTCAGTATAACTTTCATGTACTATTTGTTTTGGAATACCTTCTAAAGATGGCATGCAGGTTCATGCACTGGTATACAAAAAGCCCTACACTGTCAGAAAAAACTAAATAAAGTTCATATTTTGGCAGAAAACACTTATCCGGTTTCATCGCCAGAGAAACATGTTCTAGTATTTAATATCTTTGGAGGACCTGTTCATTTCTGTTTCTGTGACAATAAATCATATCTGTGATGAGAAACGCCAAATGAAGATTGAACTAAATAAGAAGCTTTCCCACCCTGGCTGCACTAATTTGGGTTGGTTCCCAGTATAGTTGCTTCAGAACAGGAGGACGGTGGCCCACCCACTGAACTCCATATATGAGCTCTGTGGCCTGCCATCAATCATGTCAATGTACAGCTACGGTATGTATTGGGAACTAGCACCAGCATGAGGCGATACTCTATACGTTGGTATAAGGGACCAATGTGCCTCTTCCTTTTGATCCGGTGTTGATATCTGAACAATTAACTATTTAAAATCAGAAGAAAGAGAAGCAGAAGTTGAATCCTTTATGGAAAAAAGGTTGCATGCAGCCCCTTCAAGTATGGGCTTGAAGGTGACAGAGGGAGAAAGAGACCAAGCTCTGTGAAAGACCATAAAACAAGGCAGCTGTAGAGACTGAAATAGCGCTGACTCCCCCCGCCATTCTCTTTCTCAGCCATTTTGACTCTTCTAAAATTTGACAGACTTCGCCCTTCTTGGCCAGCTTTGCATCCCTACAACTGTCGGCCCTTTTTATACCCACACGGTCACTGGGCTGCTTTGAAGTAAAAGTGGATTGGAACTTTAAGTCCCTGGTATATAGACATAGGGGATTTTAAGGTGATCAATAACATGTGATTGCTTCCTAACAGAGCTTGGTGTCAAACCTCAATTTGGTATTAAACACTTGTGCCTGTCAAGCAAAAAGCTGTCATCAGTTGGGTTGTTATGCTGGCAGAATCAGAAATCCTTTATTCCTCCCGCAACTTATGTCTAAAAATCATAATGTTGCTTATTTGTGATTTGTTGTGTGTCGCATGTTTATATTTCTGAAAAGCTTTTGATCATTATGGCATCGGTAAAGAGACTTATCAAATCTGCTGTAATATCAAAACATGTTATACCCTGATGATTGACGTGATGTGTGAATGTCTTGTTTTGTCTGTCCTGATCCTAAATATAGTTTAAAGGCCATAGAAAATGTTTGATTCTGATTGGCTGGCAGGTATAGATTCATTTCTGGTAACAGGACACGAATGATGCAGGTCTTTGTTGCCGTTCTAAATTAAGGCGCTGGTATTAACTTATTTAAATTGTTGTTTTACATTTTCTACTATCATATAACATTAAACTTGTCTGGTATTTTTCTTAATTCAACGACTTATAAGGAAGATGTATGTACACAATAAGGACTTTAGATTACATATATAGATCAATTAGATAGAGGCCACATTTTCAGTATGTGTTAAAACAACAACACCACCACAGAACAGTATAGCATGATATCATTTATTGACTATGATATAAGTAAAAAAAGAAGCCCTTAAACAACAAATATATACAAATATATCTAAACAAAAATTGTCGCAGCTCTAAACCATATTTACATAAAACCTTTGCAATGCAAACACACATTAAAATCACATTTTAAGGTTTACACTCTGTATGCACTTCACACTTATCCGAAATCAATTAAGTTTCCAACCCCAGCTGCTTCTTCACCTCGTCCCCTTTTTGACCAATCAGCAATCAGTTCCTTCACCTCTTTTCCAAAATCCTCATGTAATTGGATAAATTCATTCTTGGTGCCTAAACAGACCCCTAACCACTCCCCTACCGCTGCAGCAGGAGTGTTCACAGGCACCACGTTCGCACTCCTCTTAGGCCACAGTTTTGGAGATCTTTTATTGACTGATCTGGAGGAAAGGGTCGGAGCTTGGAGCATCTGATTGGAGCTCAGACCGGCTCCCGCTGCTACACCTGCAGCTGGAAACGAAGGTACCGCTGAAGACTGCGCGCCCTGAAAGGCTTCTGCTGTGTTGAAATTTGGCATGGTGAAAGGGTTGGTTGGTTCATTGGGGAACTCGACTAATGCATCTGAGAAAAGAGAAAAGACAAACAGATAAATACATAAACAACACATTAGCTGCTTACACTACACTGTGCTATTTTTGTAGAGGAGTTTTGTTTGTTGATTGTGATTTCTCTGATATCGTGTATTTTATAGGAAACTTTATTTCTGGCAAGGCTGCAAAATCAAAAGACAAAAACTGGCCTTACTGTTCGGCTTGCCAAGAATTGACATGAACAATTCATGGAATGTTTTTGTTAGGGCACATACCTTGTGTTACAAGATCAAAGTCCTCCATGTGAGCTTTTCTGTACCAAACTGTAAACTGTAAATAATAACTAAAATTAATAAAAAAGGATAATAGTGGAACTCAAATTTCTGTAACTGCTTTAATTGTTTTAATATAAGGTGCACTATTTTCATTGAAGTAATCCGAAAGTACTGAAGTTTGTTTACATTTTTTCAGCAGTGGAATAAATTACTCATGTTAAAAGATCAACATGTAATCTATAATAAGTAACTGTACATTTCAAAGTAACCTGACCCTTCCCTGCTGACGGACGGACGTTATGAGTTTATAATGGTTGCATATTATTGACCACAACGTACATGCATTGTTATGTGGAGGCTGTAAACAGAGAAGCTGCTCTCCAGAACAAAGGCAGCTCTCTTTCACTCACTCCTCAGACACAAAGACACACACTCTGCCTCTCACCTCTGTACTTCTTCTCCAGGTCCATCACCAGCAGGGTCAGGTAGTTGTGGTTGGCCGACAGCAGGGCTTTGATCCAGCTCTCCTGACTCGCCTGGTCCTCGGCAGCAAACTTGTACGTCCGCAGGCCCGGATCGCTCCACACCAGTGAGAAGGCAAATTGTTCCTCGGACTCGCACAGCTGGACAGTGCAGCCCTCCAGAACAATCACGCCTGTCAGGTCCCGGTCCGCTGGCCGGTCCTTGTAGAAGAGGAGGTTCCCCTTCAGCACGCACCAGCGCTTGTGATAGGAAGTCTTTATTTCGCCCTGTGAGACAATTGTGACATCTGCAGCTTACTGACTCGTTTACAAATAGCTCACTTACTCAATTTCTTGCATAACAGTGTGAGGAAATAAGAAGCCAACAGGGAGGTTAAAAGTTACAGATTGTTTTATGAAATCCCCCCCAAAAGTGAAGTAGATTTATCTTGTTTACATGTGCCTATACATTTGAAATATGGCATTGTTTTGAAAGCTGTATTGATTAAAAGCATTCAAAAATAAATTCAAGCGCTTTATGTGATTTCATTGTTCTTTTTTTTAACATTTTTAAAGTTTAGCAATGTATGTTGTCCCTTGTGTAAAGCACTTTACCAGAAAGGTGCCTACAAATAAAGTTATGAAGCTAATGTTTCAAAGTGTTTATTGATGGGTGTGTTTTTTTAAACCTTATTGAACTTTAGTTAATGATTAAAAAAGGCACACAAAAAATGTGGGTATTTGTTTCACTAAAGTGTCATACCTTCTTGGAGAGATACCCTTCTTTGTCCACTGGTGAGGTGCAAGATTCAAAATAGCTGATAACTTTTTCATCAAACTTCATTTCAACATCACAGGCTGCTTTGACCTGAACCTGCGACAAGGACAAAACTACAATAAGCCTACTTCCTCATTTATATGTTTCTGTAAATAGAGAACTAATATTAACCAGCTTTATGTAAAACAGTAAGCTTCCGACCGTAGGGAAAAATGTACTCATTCTCCGTGTAATGCAATAATGTTATACTTTTGAAAAACAGGCAATAAAACGTTAAATATATAGTGTATTAATTTGGACACATGCCAAAGGGACCGCCATTAATAACTCGCAAACTGTTTTTAAGGCGGTAGCGTCTTTTACAACCCGTGCTACGTCTCTGCACGATAACACTAACAACTGACTCATGAATTCCGCTTTCACTTCGTAATTTTGGTTAACTTTAACTTGAGAGAAAGTGCGGTACCACATTGATTTTCACTTCCACATGGGTTTTGTTTACTCACCTATCTCCAAAGTGTGCAACTCTGGCTGCTTCAGTTTCCTCCTGGCTGTGTGTCAAATCAATCACTTCCTGGTAGGTGAGGTTAGGCAGCTCCACGTCAACAGCAGAGCACTGCCTGTTCAAGAGGCTAGTTCAACAATACGCTCACTTATTTCACGTAAAAATCAACAAAATTAGTAGCCTATATGATTTGGAGGCTATAACTTTCAAATCTAAGCACTTGGTTCATCAATAGGCAAATTACCATGCCCATAGATATTGTTGCCATGGTGATTTTCATTAGAGAATAAAGTGTATTAGTTACTTTAACTACCATTTATAAAAGTAAGTCTGCATCACCGGTCAGAAAGTGTGGAGGCAGACCTCTGTGGCCCCTATAAGTGCCTCTTAGTACCTGTATCAACTGGATTGGTTTATTTACACTTTTTAATTAGTACAGAAATGTACCAAAGCAGGTCCTGTATTATTATGTTGTGGCTCATTTGGCATCTTTTTGAAAATCAAAGAAAAATTGACATTTGTTAAACATTTGAATATATTTTCTAAAAGCAAGGGCACAGACATTGAGGATAAATGGTAAATAAATACAATATAAATATCCATACATGCTAAAAGAAAGCAACAAAACTGAGCATTGTGCCTCTATGTTTGGTCTTTTTTTATTTGACTGTTGATGCACACATTTAAAGTACTATACATACTATACTACATAGTCTCTCTTAATCTAGTATTTCAAATATAATTTATTTAAGGACCTGTGGTTTCTCAGATGCTACCATGTGATGTTGAAATGCAGTTTTTGGCTGAGTCAATGGTGTGTATTGCTTGCTCTGTGAAAAAAGTCAAGTAGATGCATCTTATAATTTCTCACACATTCTAGCCTTATACTATTACTCAAGGTTTATGACATACATCAAGAGGGGGGTGCAAGCTGATGTTTGTGTTATTATTTGTATTAATACACCTGTACCTATACCACTTCAACACGCTTTCGACTGAACAAGTCTTGTGGAGAACAGTCAATCAGAGCCTTCTTGGTGATAATAAATACTTTTATTATTTTGCTGTGCATTCTCCCTTTTGCTGGATTTTTCACTACATACCCAGATGCATTTGCAATAAATATAATCCAGCATACAACAAGCGTCCATCATTCTATAAAACCAGGCAAATTAAATGACAACAGATTTGAATAAAAAGTATCAACAATTGTCGTTAGCATTAATTTGACATGAGACAACTCCTTCTGTGCACAAGTAAAATAGGTGTGACACTTAACAACACATTGTCATCTTATAAGATTTAACCTGCCCTTTGGTGTTTTGTTCTTCTCAGCATTGCCACGTGTACAATAATTGTTATATTGGTATGATTGCCCTGTGTACAAAGTATGATCATAATGCCAAAAGTGTCATAATATACAACATTTTCTATATTTAGTGTTGCTTACATTTAGTAGTTGCTTTAGGTCCAAGCTGTCTCGATTGCATTATTAATAATTATATCAGTGCATCTCTATCTGTAAAGCTGTAGAATCATCATCATGATAGCAAAAAGATTTAAAAGTGGCTTCTTAATGATAATAATATAATAATAATAATATTGGGAGGGATGAAACGCTCTTTAATGGTCACACATGCAGAGCACACAGCACACACAGTGAAATTTGGCCTCTGCATTTAACCCATCCTAGTACCAGGAGTCTAGTACTAGGAGCAGTGGGCAGCTATTGCACAGCGCCCGGGGAGCAATGGAAGTGAGGGGGGGAAGGGGGTTGTCCGGTGCCTTGCTCAAGGGCACCACGGCAGGGCAGGAGGTGAACTGGGACCTCTTCCAAGTAGCAGTCCACACTCCATTTTTAGGTCTGGTCGGGGACTTGAACCGGCGACCCTGCGGCTCACAGTCCAATCCCCTACTGACTGAGCCACTGCCGGACTTCTACATGAGTTCTACATGAGTTCTACATGGTAAGCGTGCTCATTGAAGTCTTATATAAAAATCATTGCTGTTGCTCCCTCCACACTGGCTGTAACTGTAGTATCTCTCCAATGTGAATCTTCTGATGTCTTTTCAGATTCTCCCCCCGGCTGAAGCTCTTCCCACACTGGCTGCAGTAGTACGGTTTCTCCCCCGTGTGGACCCTCTTGTGTTTTTTCAGGTCTCCCGCCTGACTGAAACGTCTCCCACACTGAACGCACCCATACGGCTTCTCTCCCGTATGACACCGCTGGTGGATTCTCAAGTTCCCCACCCTGCTGAATGTCTTTCCACACACAACACACAGGTGGGATTCTTCTCCCCTGAAGTGCTCCATGCGGCTTTTTCTCCCATCGAACGCACCGCTGTTGGTTTTTGCGAAGCCATGCCTCCTTTGTATGGCTTGATTTGAGTGGACAAAGACATGTCCTTTAGTTTCAGCACTAGCTTGTGGCCGGTGTGTTTCAGCAGAGTTCTGGCGAGAAGAGTTGCAGCTTAAATCCACACTGCTATGTTGTTCTTGAAGAGATGGTGGTTCTGTTGTTGTGCACTCTGTTAGTTCTAACTCTCTTTTGATAACTGCCAGGTTTACCTCGAGTGAAGTGCTGGAGTGAGGGGTGCACACGTTATAGGATGTGACTGCACTGAGGTCTCCATTTTCATTGTGCAATGTCTGAACACTCACTGCTTCCTCAATAATGTGTGCCACCTCCTCTGGTTGTAGTAGGCAATGTTCTGTTGTTTGCGCTGAGTTGGATTCAGTTTGTAATTCAGTGTTGTCGTAGCTCTCCTGTTGTTGCGATTCCTGCTTCACATTTTGTTCATTTGTGTGGACGATTATCTGTTTTTGCTCTGCGAGAGGTGGGTCTGAGTCCTGCCTCAAAGAAAGCCCCAAATCCTGCTTTTGATTTTGAGCGTCTTCTTTTTCTTCAGGCAACGGACAACTTGTAGGTAAGACATCTAGGAAATCAGCACAAAAGAAAATAAGTGTTATTATTTATATAAGTAACTCATCAATTACTTTACACTTAAACCAGTGAAATAGTAATATGTTTATAACAATTCAAGGAAATCCAACCTATTATCTCTTTTGTTATGTTCTCCTGGAGCTCCTGAAGCTTCCTCTTCAGGCTCTCGTTCTCTCTCTGTGTTCTGGCAGTTTTCTCCTGGTACTCTGACACCGTCTCCTTCACCACCTCCAGAACCTCCTGCACCGCTTCAGTCAGGAGCTTGGCCACACGAGCGTTTAGACGTTCAAGCTTAGACATCCTGAAACTAGAAAAGACTCAAGGTAAGAAAGGACTGCTAATGCATAATCCCTTGCAAAAGGAGCCATGTGTTCACAACTAATTTAGCTAAATAATGTATAAGAACTGTTTCACAAGCCCTGTTGTGTAACAACTCTCCTTCCTACGGCTCCAAATGATATACTTGTCAACTGTATTGGTGTATTAAACCAGAGAAACATAACATGTTTCCAAATATACCAATATTTTTGTTGATTCAAATAAGCATTTTAAATGAATAATCATATCGAAATCATACATCTATGCTATGTTATGAAAATGCTGTTTATAGCTAATACATGTTACTCTTGATAACAAACTTTTATTTCGTTTGTACTATTTTGGCCTATTTTTGTAAGGTTTCAATCCATTTACATGAATGGCTATGTTGCTGAATTATAGATAGTTTAGTGGTACATTTTTGCAGTTTATTTGTAGGCTGGGGCTGAAACATTATATTAATCACAGTGAAATGTTTGCCAAGTTACACTCAGTCAGTACTGTTTAGTTCAACAGTATGTTAAGTGTTCATAAGAGTTTGAAGTTTATTTTAAATGTAAATCAATGCAGACATATTCCAACAAGTGTTAATAAACATTTAAGCCACTTTCAGTTCCCTAGTTAAGCTTATGTTTAGGAAGATGTACCTGAGGCTAGTCGTTGTCAGGTAGCTAACGTTAGCTACATTAGCTCCGTACGTTTCCTCTATCGTTTTCCCTTCCAAAAAACACGTCATGTGGTTATTGTGTTAGCAAGACGTGTAGGTTATTTCCAGACAAGTTAACTTGTAATAAAAATTAAACGAACATTGTCAACAATACTAGAAGGCACCAATCTGAAAGAAACATAACAATGCGATAACTCGCTACTTCCGGAAGCGATGAATTACATCCGCTGTGAGGTGATTTTCAAAATAAGATACCGAGTTCTATACATTTATTAATTTGCACACCACTAATAAATCTTGTTAACTTGAAATCTGGCCTCGAGCATTTCACCTTATATTGAGTTATTCAATCAACTCAGATAAAAATCTTTATTGTCGATCATACAGCCAGTAAAACAAGTATAAACATTTAAAAAAGCACTCCTACAGTCACAACAAAACCTGAGAACAACATGTTGAAGTAGAGCAAACTAAACTGTACATTACATTACAGTAATATGACTGTAAACAATAAACATCAGTAGCTTGCTAGCATGCTAAATCTAGTTTTTAGGTTAACAATGTTTGGTTTTACTTGAGGGATTCAGATTTTTCAAGTAATTGTGTTGGCAATACACAACACTTCACCAAGAAGAACCATACTTGCATTTGATTTGGAAATGAGACAAACAGCAGCATGGCAGGAATTGTAGGAAATAAGAAAGTGTGTTTGATACTTCAAAGTTGACATATAGGCCCTATTGTACAACAATAAGATAGTTGTCTTTGTAAAGGAGGCAAACACATATTTCTATTTAACACACTTTCTAAAGACAGTCAGATTGAAATCTGCTTATTATATCACCACAGACCATACCTTCACACTTTGGGAATCAAGCATGTGCATGTTCTATCATTTTCTATACCTAACAGAGACGCAGCCTTTTTATTGTCCAGCTCTAAATTATAATATATGTTTGAAGAAAGTCTGGCAATAGCAGCCTCACAGATGAGTTTGCTGGTGTTTCTTCAGGTTACTAGAGTGACTAAAGCTTTTGTCACAGTGAGTGCAGGCGAATGGCTTCTCTCCTGTGTGGAAGCGCTGATGCACGGTCAGGTAGCCGGACTGACTAAAGCGTTTCCCGCACACCGAGCAGCAGTACGGCTTCTCCCCCGTGTGCACCCTGTTGTGTTTCTTGTAGTCACCCGCGTGTCTGAACGTGCGACCACAGAGCAAGCAGGAGTAATGTTTTCTGTCATTTCTCTGGAACACTCTTGAGCCTGAAGCGACAGCTATTGTGTGATTGGTGTGTTGTTTTTTTGCACTAACACTGTTTGTATTGTCGTCTCTTTGGGATGGTGGCTCTGATGTGCCATTTTGCTCCAAACTGGAGACTGAATGGCCTTGAGGATGTTCTGAATTTAGTCTGTGTGAGGATGCAGTGCTTGTACCTGCATCATCATAAAAGCAATTTGTGGTGTGTATGCCGTCTTCATCCGATGTAGGCTCTCTTTTCATTTTGTGTTGGTTTTCACTAAGATCTACATGGTTTGAAATTGCCAGTCTATTATTAGTTTCTGTTAGAAGAGCTCTTAAATTGTTCAGGTCGTCACCACCTAAATGTGTGTGTGTCTTGGCTCCAGGGGAGAGACATGGAGCGGCGAACGATGTGATGGATGCTTCACTGTCAATGTCTTCAAAGGAATACGAAGGAGAGATTACAGCAATGTCCTTATCAGATGTGATGAGTTCAAAGTCCTCTCCCAACTTCTCTTTCTGTCTCTGCTCGATCAGAGGCCTATGGGAAAGTTGTGCCACTGTTCCTGCATAAATCAAAGTTGACAAAGCACAAAAAAGACAAAATCAGTCAACAATTGTATCAAACAAGTTCAATATTCCTTGACCCTGATATTGAATATACCATTGCTTTCCAGGTGTAACTTCTCCTGGAGCTCCTGCAGCTTTCTCTTCAGACTCTGGTTCTCTCTCTGTGTTCTGGCAGTTTTCTCCTGGTACTCTGACACCGTCTCCTTCACCACCTCCAGAACCTCCTGCACCGCTTCACACAGCAGCTTCTCCACTCGGGCATTCAGACAGTCAATGTCGGACATCTTTATTGGCTGATCCTTGGGACCGAAAAGAAGGAACAGATCAGTGAATGCGTCACGTGATCCTATAACGTATAATGTTAACCATGTATTAATAAAAGAAAAAGCAGCATACCTTTAACCTAATGTAATCGGGTTTAATATTGTTGCTGTATTTCGTGATTCCCAGGTTATCTAGTAGTAATCCAGAGGAGAGCGCTCATTGTTTACATTCAGACTTCGGCGGAAATTCCTCTTTCAGGAAACGGCTCACCGGAAGTCCATTAGGCAGTATCGATGTAGCTTTTCCACAATATAAAAGGGAGTGTAGTAAATCTAAAAAAATGTTTGGTAAAAGTAAATATGTCAATAGATGAGTGTATCGTGTACAAAGGGCATCCAATGCAGAGCCATATAATAGAATCTATCTATATGGCGCTGATCCAATGCATTCCCTTCCTCGGTTTTTAAGGGAACTCGCATCCAGCGGGAAGTGCGATACTTCCATCTACTGGTGAGTACGCAAACATCCAGAGTGCATCTGCGGTACATTCACTCATCTATCTGCTTTTTTCTTATTTATATCCCATCACTGTCTACTGTTACTGAGGGAAAAACGTGTTGAGCTATCTAAAAACAAACACACACGGCACACAGAAGTTTAAATGACGTTTCGCTCTTTTTTTTTTTATTATGTTCTATGACTCATGAGGTAAATGACTCGGAGTACATCAAGCTAATGATAACTTATATTCACAATACATCCTGACTTGTCATTCCAGCAACAGATTATCCTTTACACAAACATAAAAAGTGCTTTGAAGGTCTTATTATACATTCAACCCTTTTCCCTAAATACATTTTTTCAAGTACACGTTAAAAGAAGCTGTTGTAAGACTTAGGTGTAATGGCAGTTCACAGAGTAAAGTACATTCAAACACAACTTCCCTTTGACATAACATTTTAAAGTGAAAACACCTTTACCCCTAAAAGTAAACTGGCAGTGTTTTGATCATGGCTCTACAGTTGTGTCCTCAAACAGACTGAGCAGGTTCTTTGGTTCAAAGTTGGGTCGGGGTAAAGCCTCCTCTGTGCGGATCCAGCTGCGTCGCTGCGAGGACTTGTTGGCTACAGAGTGTGGGCTCTGTGTCGACTTTTCATTAATGCTATCTGCAAAAAGCTCTATGTGTAAAGGGCTAATGCTGGGTGTCAGTATGTGGCAGGAACCATTGGAGTGGATGCTGAAGGGGGTCTGCGCCAGGTTACAGGAGGAGCAATCCCCCAGGTTCGAGTGAGTGGGGGTGTGGGCAGTGGGGGTGTGGGCAGGGCTTCGATGACTGTGTCTCGGGGACCTTGGCAGAGGAGTGGATGTGCTGTCCACAAACAGTCTAGATGTTACCCTGTGGAGTGGGGGGAAATAATACAAATGAAGCGAGGACAGGAATTACAAACTCAGGTCAAGACAGACTGAGGGATAGTAACCACACAGTTTTTTTGTTTTACATTGCTGGTTTTGGATATTTTTAAAAGAGATGTACTGATTGCAGTCTTCTAGGCTTTTCAAATGTCTGACCTGTTGTGTCAGATTTTTGCATTTCCCAGTTTTCTTTATAAAGTATTATGAACTATAATAGACAGCATATACATTTCTTCTAAAATTACAATTCAGCTGTAAAAACTTGACACTGACAACATAAAAATATATGTGTTTCTGTGACTTAACATCACTGTCTGTGTTGCTATGTGCTTCATAAACCCATCATGAAACATATGTGTGCAACACGGATGTATGAGATTGAAAAATGGAAGATTGATCGGTGCATTTCTAAGACATACACAAAAACCAGGCTTTGATTCTCTACCTGTGTGAGAAGGTGGGGGAGAGCTCCATGTCGGTTTGATCCAACAGGAACACTGCATCGTCCTCTGGACTCCCGGAGTCAGCATTCATGGCACTGAGCGGCAGAGTTAGATCTTTGTCCCAACTCCCCTTAGGAGGAGTGCTGGGAACCGGCTTTGACCAGTGAGGCAGAAAGGACAAGTGAAGTGAGGACAGCAGTCTGCACCCAAAGCACACTACCAACTATGAGAAAAAGACCAGAAAAACATAATTTAAGAAAACTGTTATTTCATGTTTGCAATATGTGTTTTATATGTAATAAATAAAAACAAACTGTAGATGACTTTGGGACTGAAATGAGTCCCCAAAACGGATTAATAATCCATATAGCTTTATAGCCGCTGTGTTTAGCATGGACACATTACCTGACAGAAGGAGAGCAGTGTCAGCGTGGCCTCTGCCACCATGAGATAGATGCGCCTCCTCCACCTGTGTTTCCTCACAGAGGGGAGAGACAGGAGCTCAGAGACTGTTGGCCTCTCAGAGGGCTCCGGGGCCAACATCATCCGCAGCACTGCCTGAAGCTCAGCTGACAGGCCTGCAGATACAGATGGAAATAGTAAGAATTGAAATAAAGATAATGCAATTGTTTATAAAGACCTAACACAGAGTGGATCTTACCACTGGTGAACTCTGAGGGGAGGCAGCCTTGCCTGAGCTGTTGCCAGCCCTCTCCTCCATTGGGAACTTCCATATTACAGGCCAGCTCCAGAATAGAAACACCCAAACTAAATGAGAAGGATTCAACAATATTAAGTTAAATCAAATCATCTTTTTACAGATTTAAGTATATTATTTTACTCATGTATGTCTTTTGTACCTGAAAACATCTGCAGCTGGCCCATACTCCCCCCGCAGCAGCTCAGGGGCCATGTATCTGGGATCCCCCTCCTGGATGTCATCTTTCCCCTCTAAAGACCCTGTGCTCTTCTTTTTGAGCTCAAACAGCAGCCCGAAGTCCGCCAGCTTAAGGCGGCCCGAGTCAGTGATGAGGACATTGGCGGGCTTGAGGTCCAGATGCACAAAACCAAGAGAGTGCAAGTGCTGCAGAGCTGAGAGGAGGTCGCACAGGTAGGCCCATGCTGCAGGCTCATCTGGATTAGAAATGTTAGGACAACCGTCAATTTATCTGTGGATTTGAGAATTTTCTAAAAAAGCAAATACATAGGGCAAAATATAGATATTAGGACATTTGAATGGGTTGTATTTTCACTTTCAGACCTGGTCCAGGAGGCTGGTTCTCAGCATGGAGCAGCAGGCTGGTGCTGCAGAGCTCTGTCTGGATGTACAGTCGGCCACATTCTTCCCACGCTGCCACAAAATCGAGGATGTGAGGGTGAGGACAGAGGCGCTCGTGGTTCTTGGCTTCCCTCGTGCTCCGGCTCCTCTCACTGTTGCCCCTGAAGCGGTGAGCAGAGCGCTTGACTGCATACTGGCGACCGTCCAAGTTGCTTTTCACCTAGAAAAATAGAGGAAATGCTGAGAACTTGACTTCTCTTCTGGGAATCTCCAAATGATAATCATGGTGAGAATGTAAGTGTTACAGGGATATTAAAATGTGTATTGTGAGTGTATTTGCTGTGAGAAAAAAAACACAGCACAGATGTTGAAACAGGCAAGATTGTGATCTTCATATTAGACTGTTCATTCCTCACCTTAGATGTCCCCTTATATTGCCTCTATTGTCTACTGACTCTTAAACTTGAGTATCTAATGGCAACTTCCTCACAAAATGATTCCATAAAATGCAGTCTTTCCTTTTTTCAAAGAGTTCTGAAACATCATTCAGTATAAGCATTTCCCAATGTTATAAACATATACACACAAATGTTACTCACCTTGTAGACCTCTCCGAAAGATCCTCGTCCCAGCAGGCCCAAATTAGTGTAGCATTGATTGAAATAGGACTGCTGTTTGCTGGGATTATAAACAGCATTCGGAGGGGGAGTCTTGCTAAGGGAACATGACAGAGGGGTCCAGGGGGTGGGCTGCTGGGGGAACATCCTGCTCAGGGGGGGACATCCCTTGGACGGCGGCAGCGGGGGCAGAGAGTGTGAGAGATGGGAAGGGGAACAGTAGGATGAGTTGGAATTGGACGATGAGGAAAAAGGGAGATGGCGTTTTTTGAGGGAGAAGGTTTGCTCTGCATGGGAGAAGTGGGTGGGGACAGGGAGAGACATCCTGGACACTGAGGTTTCCACAGCCACGGACATTGTGTTGGGACTTCTTCAGCTCCTTTCTTGGGAAATAGTGAGCTGCAACATTGAAAAGAAAACCATTAAACAATGACAGACTTTTTGACAGTTCATGAGTGTACTAATGGCACTTTTGCACTGCTCATGCCATTTCAATGTGCTAAAGTTAGGGAGAAGTTATCCGTCATACTAACTTGCCACAGAGGCAAAGCAAAACCTACCATATTAAAATGTAGCTGAATGCTAAGAAATCTCAAGTGGAATAACCAGAAATTAGTAGGTTTTTTTTGTTGTGTCCAACTGGTTGGGGTACACTCATTTGTTTCCATGAGAGAGATCCAACATCCTGAACATCCTGCTTTACAGGTTTTGGAGAAGTGTCTGATACCAGTATCAATACAGCCTGATAGAGTAGGTAGCTATCTGCGTTAAAAGGTACAAAAAAGTCTCTCACTTACTCACTACTCAGATCCTTTACTTAAGTAAAAGTACAAAAGTTATTTAAAAGGTACAGCAATATTATAGGCAAAATAAGCTTCAAGTATCAAAAGTAAAAATACTCGTTATGCAGAATAGATATTATATTATTAGGTTTATTATTGTATCCTGTTTTTATACATATAAGCGCCTTTAAGTATTATGGTTGGTCATTGTGGACCAAATATAGAAACTTTAAATTCTGTGTAGATAAAGCACAGTATTGCATTATACCATACCAGCATATCGTGTGTTTGTATATGTAAAGAAATAATTTGAGTGTTCAGATAAAAGTAATGAAGAAAAAAGTACAATGTTTGCCTCTGAAATGTAGAACAGTAGAAGTATAAAGTAGCATGAAATCGAAATACTCAAGTAAAGTACAAATATGTCAGAAAATTACAATACTTTAGTAAATGTACTCAGTTACTTTCCACAACTGAATGTAATGTAACGTTAACCCATAGACACACACAAACACTGCACATTTGATATCACACAGTTTAATTAATATTTATTTCAACTACTTTACATAAAAAGCCTTAGCTAACGTTAA